TAGCCGGAGTGGGTCGTCGTCGTTGATGATGAAGGATCCAAGAAGGGAGCGGCGATGAAAGGAGAGTTGGATGGTGATGGTGAGGACGAGCTCATAGCACAGCAAGGGGGAATGAATTGATGATAACGGTAGCCAATGATGGATCAGGTTCGGTGGCCAAAGTCAACGATGCCATCATGATTAAAGATCTAGAAAATGGGGGGGAAGCGAGCTTTGACCACTCCTGAGACCAAGCGAGGTGATGATGGAGCAGAGATGGAGAAACACAGTGGCCTGGGGTTTTAGCCTGGAAATTATCTAAAAAAATTCACGGGACTTCAAGTCCCGTGGAGTTTTTTTCAACTATGAAACTTCACGGGACTTGAAGTCCCGTAAAGTTACACATCTTAATTAAATGATTACTAAACTTCACAGGACTTCAAGTCCCGTGAATTTCCATAGTTTTTTTCCATCAAAACCGACCTAGTTTTAGCCCGACGGCTGAAACTAGGTTGGTTTTGACGAATATTTTCAGAACATGTCATTTTTTGCTAATATTTTTGTAAATGTGTCTGTTTTCAAAATTTTTCCTAAAAACTATGCCTAGATGCATTTCTTTTCAAATTTGGAAAAGAATGAAAACACTAAAAATGCTCTGGTTACCCCTAAGATATTTGACCATGTGCAATACACTCACTTTCCACTAGTCATACCCTAAAAAAGATGAGGGGAAGCAAAAAGACTTAATTGCACTTACATACCCTATACTTCCCCCTACTCATATACCCTCACTTATTTTTTGTTGCATTTATATACACTAAAGTGTTTTAATTTAATATGCACAGTTATGCAAATGTGAAATTCTTTCTCTGAAAATTCTCATGTGACTCACATGCTAATTTTAGAGCTTTTTAACTATTAATTTTTATTATATTTATTGTAAAAGTACTATAATTCTAATTATAAACCGACAATAATTATATTTTAAAATAGGATTTCGATAGATTAATCAACAAATTTAGCAAATATTAAGAGGTAAAAATGTATTAAAATTAGCATGTGAGTATCTAAAGAAAAATTCTAAGAGAAAGTTTTCACTTTTGCTTAAAAGACGGTATTACATTTTAAAAGCTTCCTGACATCTAAATGCAACCGAAAATAAGTAAGGGTACATAAGTACAAAGAAGGCGAAACTATAGAGTGTATAAGTGAAATTAGGCGCAAAAATCACACAAATACACGTATTCCCCACGTGACCTCCTCTCTAGTTGCCGACGACACAATTCTGGTATTCTTGTGGTTTCACCAAAAACTGTGGTCGCTATCGTAAATCACTCACCGAATACTTCCACTATACCTGTCCTTTTCTTCTTGCATTTCGTGGTCGGACGAGCGCCTTCGGTGTGTTAAAAAAATTAAAATTAAAAAATCGAAAAAGATAAAAAAAAATTCCCTAAACCTCAAATTGATGACTGCTGACCTTTTGTTTTAAAGTTTTTTTTTGAATTCGATTAGTAGAGGGTCCGATTTGTGGATTCCTTGCCCTTGGGCTTGATGCTGATTCTGACTTCGATCGAGATCTGAAGCTTTTCGATCTCCAAAAAGGTAAATATTTTGTGATCGTGACTAAATTTTTAGGTTTGAATCTGGGGCTATGGTTTATCATTGGTTTGTTGTCTAGATCTAAGGTTCTCAAAGTTTTTGCTGTGCTTGTGGAATTGAGTTTGAGATTCTAGGGTTTTGGAGTGCGATCTGATGTACGAATTTTGGACAAAAGTATTTCGATCGGAATTAAGACGATATACATGCTTGTCTTTATAATTATTGGGATCAATTCGTAGTATTGAAAGTTGGATCTTTTTAACTTTTCCTGAAAATTTTGTTACTTGTTCGTTGTTGTGGGAGGCTGTTTTACTGATTCTTCAGGTATATATGGAGATGGAAACCATGATAGAATCTATTTCGGTGATAGTTATTGATAGTAAAAGCTCATACTCGATGAGAAAAGTTGGATCATAGTCAACAAACCCTTTGGCCTGGAATCATCTCTTAATGTAGCCTGTCGCTGATTATTTATTTATATTTTATCCTTATGATGATTGCATGATATTGTAAAATTACGAATTACAAATGTAAGTGTAGTCATGTATACTAAGGGCCTGTTTGGCAATCTGTTAAAACTGTGTGCCTGGCCTAGTTTTAGATGCTTCTTTGTTGGCAAAAACTTGGGCCAATGCTGTCCAAGTTTTTATAGGCCAAAAAGGGCTCATTAAACTGGTTCTAGTTTGGACCAGCCCCCCTTCCAAACTAGAAGCTGGGCCAGGATCATTCCTGGTCCAGTTTTTAACATATTGCCAAACACACCCTAAAACTCTGTGTTGAGTGGATACAAAGCATGAGAGAACACACATCTAGTGGAACATAACATGTACTGCATGAGCTTCTCTTACCAGTTACTGTTGTTAGTAATCGGGATATTAAAATTTACCATTCCTTTTTGTTGATCCTGCTTCTGTATGGTTGCTTATTAGCGTGCTGTCATGAACCATTATAATTGATTCATCTAATCTTAAGTTCATATTTATAGCATAACGAGAGCTGTTAAGCCTTTTTTCCAATTCCTTATTGTTGGTTTTAAGATCCTTCTCAACCAATTCTTATCAAGGCTTTTCCGTTGCCTGGTGTCTGGCTTTCCATGTTTCATGCCTTCATGGTGATCTACGTTGTATGTGTTTTTTTAATCGTGATGCCATAGCTGTACCTGACACTTCCTGTAGCTAGACCTGTATCCGTACATGATATCCCTTGAATATATGCATACATTTCATTAGACGTGTACCCAACTTCACAATACATTGTTTAGTAATCGCAACCTTCTTGGATGTATATCCTACACTTCACATCCATTTTCTGTTACTTTTGGCCTATATGCCGTTCATAACTATGGTTTTAAAGGGACCTTTGCATATCGAGTAAAAAAATGAGTGTTTTTCCAACTTATAGTCTGCATATATAAAAGAATCACACAAAATTTATAAGAATTTGAATGCTCATTGCATGTTAATGGAAAATTATTGATCTCATGTACATTATTCATCTCTATAATATGTGTGTGCGTGTGTGCATGCGTGTTATATAGTACCTCATTCCATACAACATAGAAGGTGGTAGATTTCTCACCAACACTAAGGCTTTCCCCTAGGGATTTAAGATTGTCCTTTGCCTGCAATATACGGTTTTATTATTCTTTGAACTTCTTGTTTATAGTTGATCTTTAATACAATGCTGCGGGATAGTTAGTTGCTAAGCAATTCATGGCAGACAGTTCTTGTAAGACTCTTAAGCTCCTCAACTGCCAAAACATGGTTGCTGAAGTTAAATTGCAGGTCTCTACATTGAGATATGTCTCATAATCAGGGGGAAGACATCGATGAAATGGCAGATTATTATGACATGAATGAGATGGAGGATGACATGGATGAAGACTTTCATGGGAGACTGATGGAGTATTCAGATTCTGACGAGGAAGAAAATTCCCAATTGGTATTCCACCTCCTTAAATAGTCTTCTCATTTTGTGTAATTCTATTCCCCATTTCACTTCTTCCCTTTCCTGCTTACTTTCCTTTGGTGAAATTCTAATAAGAACATGTACTGTTAACTGCTAGTGCATACACCCCTTCTATTTGTATGTTTAATGAAGTTGAATTCACTTCTATTTTTGATGTAATTATAACCATATGAGGTACTGAAAAAAGTTTCCACATCTTATGCAGTATGATAGAGTAACAGACACTTCAGCTTCAGAAGCCAGAAAAGGAAAGGACATACAAGGCATACCCTGGGATAGATTAAGTATCACAAGGGATAAGTACAGACAGACTAGACTAGAGCAATACAAGAATTATGAGAATGTTCCTAACTCCGGGGAAGTTTCTGCTAAGGTATTCTAGTTAAACAAGTTTCAGATGTATCTTGATTTTGTTGTCTAGAAATGTGCTACCTGCATTGTCTTGTGTATAGGTATGCAAGCCATCCAGGAAGGGAGGAAACTATTATGAGTTTTGGCGGAACACAAGATCTGTTAAATCAACTATCCTCCATTTTCAGGTTGAAAAAAGTGTTTGGTTCTAGTTACATTTTGATGAAGTCCAAATTTTTTGGTCATGTTTTTGAATGCAGCGCACATATTATTTTTGGATTGTGTGTTACTATTATGTCTATTCTATCTTGACCAGGGGCACAACCTTTTTAATTCATTATTCAGACGCTGTGCGGATCTAGGCACTAGGGGTGTTCCTAGAACCTAAAGCCACCTTTGTGGTGTCTTGTTGCCTCCTGCTTTTTAAAACTTCTGCCTCTAGCATGCCCTTCATATGAAATGCGCTTCACCGGGTGCAAAGTTCACATTTAATTATGCTTCAAGTAAAAGAACTTATGCCTCGGCGGACAGTTACTTTTTTTTTCACTTCAGTACTATTTCCCTTCAAAATGCTTCGAAGCATGCCTCCTAAAGCTTTTTCAAACAGTATTTTTAATGGAATAGCTGATATAAGTTTAGTGAATGATTGATGAGAGTTTGAAGTTGTGTTTTCTGGAGAGCGAGGCCTCATATATTTCTTGACCCCTCTTTCTTCTCCTCTTGCCACTATTTCTTCGCTACTGAGTCTGAACTGTGAACGTGAAGGAAAACGTTGTAAATCCTAACCCATGTCCATAAAAACAAGTCAAAATCATATTGAAATATAATAACTGCAGCATTACACGAAATGTTCCCTCTCTCAAGAGGCCCATAGGTGGATACAATGTTGGGATTGCAAGCGAGTAGATATCATAATTTTTATTCATAATGCATTCAAGTTATCGAAGTGCTTGAGTATTTTCACAGAAAGTCAGTTGGTGATTTCATTTTTTGAATCAGACAACGGTGCTTGAACACCATTACTTTCAGCTTCCAAGTAGTTGCACATTTGATTGCCAATTTTCCTGTTAGGTGAGGGGGTTGTATTATTATGTGAAGAAGCAACAGCGTCTTGTGGTACCTGCAAAGTGACTGCGATGCATAGTATGCTGTTATTGTCAGGGAAGCCCACTCGTGAAATTGCCCTAAGAGTGCCTTATATTTTTCTGCATTTTGGAGGAGCATTCAGTGAAATAGTTGATAGGCACTGTGAAGGACTTGAAACTAGCAGAGCTGGGAAGTATGGGTTTGCAGTAGCACATTAAAACCTTCCATACTTTCCTATGTGTGAGCTAGCAGTTCTAGTTTTGCTCTAATTTCTGTCTGGTATCTGTATTAAACCAATGTTTGCTATATCTGCAACCACGTTAGCTGGTATTGGATTTAAACAAGTCTAGCATCCTCAATCTTCTGGGCAAAGAACCAGTGTTCAAAAACATGCTCTATCTGGTCGAGAACTCCTACCCCATACCAAAACATGTTGGATAACTGAAACCCGCTCAATTAAGCGGTTTGATTATGTGGTCAAACCGCATAATCAAGCGGTTAAAGAGTATACGCCCACATAATGAAACTATGCTGGCGTATAATATACATGACCTGAACCGCAGTTAATTACCCTGAAGTCTCTCGATCCATGCCTCAAAGGATCCCCTTAAAAATTGTTTTAAAACCCTAAACCTAGTCTCCTCCGCACAAACTCCTCTCCACTGGTCGCTGACCACCACCTCCAAATGCCATGAAGTGTAAATGCTGCCTGTCACCGTCCCTCACTATGCTTTTTGCCACCGAGCACTACGAAGATGATGAGGAACACCAGCGAGGAGTTTTATTAGTATTCTAGGAAAGTGTTATAACTTATGTGAGTGCTTTAGCTTATGAACTTTTAGTAGTTGTACTTTTTAAGTGTATAACAACTTTGATTCAAATAGCTTGGTTGTTATTGTTAGTATTTTGGTTGGAATGTTTTATATTTTTCATGAATCATTATATTTTTATATATGATAAGTAATATACATATGAAAAATTTCAAAAACGCATAACCCACATAATCCGATTAATCACCACATAATCTGATCATTGCTACCTGATATCACTATACGCATAATGAAACCATGTTTTAGAACCTTGAAAAGAACAGTTGGATGGAAGAATATTGATTATTTCTCTCCTATTGGCACGTGTGAGGCACCGAGCACTTGATTGGTGCTGGAATGCACTGCTTCTTGAATTTGCTTCTGTTATATTCTATGTAATATTTGCAGAAATGAGACTATAGTACACAACATATTGCTGCTATTGGGTTTTTTTTTCAGCTCAACCATAGGACGATTATATTACTGCTAATGATATTAAGCCAACTTAAGGTCTTCAAATATTTTCTTTGGTTAGTGTGCTCATAGACCATAGAAATTTTTAAGATTTGCAACTTTCTATGGTATTTTTTCTGAAGTAGCATCTGGTTTTCTGTAAACTGATTTTTCATGATTTTTTTTTGCAGTTAAGGAATTTAGTCTGGGCTACATCAAAACATGATGTATACCTTATGTCACACTACTCTGCTATACATTGGTCTGCATTGACTTGTGAGAAGTCCAAAGTTCTGGATGTTTCAGGGCATGTGGCACCATGTGAGGTGAACATTCTGTTTTGTTGTTGAGTGATACATCTTCTGGAATTCAAATTTTTCTTTCCTTGCCAAAGACATGATTTTTTTTCTGCCGTCATTCTTCATAAGGGAATGGGTTAATTGTGGACAGACCCCCTGTAGCATCGTCTAATTGTGAATAGAACTTGTGTTGCTCTAATTGTGCGGATAGACCCCCCTAGCGATTTTCAACTTTTAAATGATTAAAGAAAAGTTCTATAGGGATGGATAGACCTCTGTACTTCTATTGGTGCAGATAGACCTCCTATATTTCTATTGGTACTGGTAGACTGCAAGTTGCTAACCTTTTTGATGCTTAAAAGAGTTAAAAAAGTTCAATAATGGGGTCTATCCGCACTTTCGGTAAATAGTACAAGGGGTCTATCTGCACCCATGGATCCCATGGATCTATAGAGGGTCTATCCGCAAGTGGGTGATACTATAGGGGGTCTATCCCCAATTAACCCACTGTAATATATGATTAATCTTATATCTCATTTAATTTGATGCAGAAACATCCAGGAAGTCTATTAGAAGGGTTTTCACACACTCAAGTTAGTACGCTGGCAGTTAAGGATAAGTTGCTTGTAGCTGGTGGATTCCAAGGAGAACTTATATGCAAGGTCAATTCCTTTAATCAGATTCCATCACATATTTGTGCAGACTCTTACGGATAACAACTTAGTGGCACATTTAAAACTTTTCTTTTAAAAGAGTAGCTTGTATGCTTGGAAATTGGAGAAAGTTGTTTAGTCCGTTGAAAATTGTGTAATTATAGACAACCAGATCCTGGCTATCCCTCTTTGGAGTCTTGGAGATACGCCACTTTTCCAATATAACGTACTATCAGAGACAAAAACCTTAGTCCTACAAAACCTGTTTTCTTAAGCCTAAAACTTGGGGTCATTGAGAGAAGCTTTCAACCCTAGCACCATCTCTGCTCTTTCCTTCAATGGCTTTGTAACCTTCAAGGTTTTTATTTCTAACTTAAACTTCTTCCTTCTTGCTAACTGTCTCCATATTTGAAGTCCTAATATTTTGTCTTTATGTCTGAAACGTACTTGTCTTTAGATATCCTATCTTCATATATGAGACCAAAACTATTTGTGATCTTGGCGGCCTCCAGATTTTTATTGATTACTTCTGTCAATCAATTTCTTATGATAAACCTTCGACTGATGTTGTTGCTGATAAAATTGCTTAGGATCAGGAGCAAGACGCTTGCTGCAAGACCAATAAGATTGTCACTTCTTTTGCTAGTTCACATGATGAAATTTATGATAATTTCACTAAAGCACTATCTAGCTTTTTTTTGCGTTTTGTTTTTGTTTTTGTTTGTTTTTGTTTTTGTTTGTTTTTTTTGTTATTTTTTGCTTTCATGTGACAAGTTGGGCTTGATTGAAAAATACATGCTCCACCTCGAGGGAGAGTACTAGAAATAGGTAGTATATTACGAAAGCTAGAAAAAAAATTGTTTAGTCCCATATTGAAAATTAAACAAGTGGTTTATTTGCTTTACTATGAAGAAAATTTGATTATCCCTCTTGGAAAAAGTAAGTTTCCTACCATAATGAGCTCATTAAAGACGATATTGACCTTCTGTTGCATTCTTGGAAGCTATAGATCCTTAGACTTCTTATGCATAGTGGCTATGTGGCCAAGCACGGAGTGACAATCATACAATCTGACGTCGCTAGTTTGCATTTGAAAATTGTTAAAGGATATATGTGAAACAGGCTTTGTGCTGTTATTGAGATGCATCTTCTGTTTAATCCTCGAGAAAACAAAATTTGCATTTGAAAATTGTTAAAAGTATATATGTGAAACATGCTTTGTGCTGTTATGGAGATGCATCTCCTGTTTAATCCTTGAGAAAAATAATATAACCATGATGTTTGCATTTGTGGCCAAGCATGGAGTGACAATCATACAATCTGACGTTGCTAGTTTGCATTTGAAAATTGTTAAAGGATATATGTGAAACAGGCTTTGTGCTGTTATTGAGATGCATCTTCTGTTTAATCCTCAAGAAAACAAAATTTGCATTTGAAAATTGTTAAAAGTATATATATGTGAAACATGCTTTGTGCTGTTATTGAGATGCATCTCCTGTTTAATCCTTGAGAAAAAAAAATATAACCATGCTGTTTTTCTGCAATACCAAAATTTGTCACATTGTACATCGAATTCCAAATAGGCAGATACTATGTATAAATGCTGTTAGCTCTAAAATAATAAATCTGACAAGGAACATGAATGAGTTAAATTTTCTTGACTGATTATGTGAGTGATGATTTATAGTTGTGATTGGAAATTACAGTATTTGGATCGACCTGGAATTAGCTTCTGTTGCCGGACAACTTATGATGACAATGCAATCACTAATGCTGTAGATATTTACAACAGTTCCAGGTACATGATGTTTATCCTATTAAGTTTTTTAGTGTTTTAAAATATTGCATGTGCTAATTCAGATTGTTATCAATCCAGTGGGGCTCTTCATTTCATGGCATCGAATAATGATTGTGGTGTCAGAGACTTTGATGTGGAGAAGTTTCAGATATCTAAGCATTTTCGGTACCCGTGGCCAGTGAATGTAAGGCATCAATCTCTATTCCTTGTTCCGCATAGTTTTTGTAACGCAGAGATTATATGATATGTGTGCAATTTGTAGTTACAAAGGGATACTAATGTTAATTATTAAAAACTGCTGGTAAATAACTTATGAATTCTGAAAGTATTGAAGGAGAACGAAAAGAATTGCAATGGTATGCCTGCTGTTATTCCTTCAGTTATATTCCAAACTGGACTGGAAGTTTGGTTGGAGGGAAGCCGAGTGTATACAACTCAACCCTGTTGGATGGGATGAGCTTCTCAGTAGACAGGATGACCTTGAGTAAAATGCTTGGAAAGAACATTTAATATAGTTCTTTCATAACTAAAATACTTGGAGGATGGCTAAGGGCTGTCGCATGGAATAATGAATAAAATTGTGATTACACATGCCTCTGTGAATAAAATTAAATTCATAACAAGCTGCAACTGGGGTTCAAGCCAACTCCAACCTTAAACCACCTTGTTCAGTTGGTTGAAATATGTGACTAACGAGTATCTCCTTATTTTCTGTTCCTACCTAGTCCAATCCCAAGCCAACCTACATTAATGTGCTTTTATACAGCATCTACATCATCACCAACAACAGCAACTGTAGCAGAAACAACCCATCTACCTTATATAACACATTCATAACACAATAGAAGGAAAAAAAATTATAAAAGAAAACGACAATGAATAAGCTTTTTATTCGTTTACTTTTCTCTGTTCAGCTCTTCTAGGCAACTTCTAAGTTAAATACTATACTTGATATATGTCCTCATCATATGAAATATCATTAAGTAGTTGCCATCATGTTCACATGAACATGGAACAAAACAGGGGTATACATGGATACGTGGGGTAGGGTAATTCCTCTAGAAGCAAGACATAGGAACACAAGAACACTATGTCACATCAACGTTACTAGTGTGGGTGGCTATGTTGCATGGGTGTGGGTACGGATATGGATATCGGTATGCAAGGTTTTAAATGTCGGCTGACATGTCGGTTTGAGGGCTTGAGCGACATGACATGGGTGTTTTCAACTCATATGTCGGTTTTCAGGGCCAAATTAGAAATATCGGGGCCATATCGGGCATAGCGGCCGATTTTTCAGCTTTAAAAAATCGGCCGATATGGTCCTTTTTTTAGATCTGTTTTTTGTTATCGGGTTTGAGTTTAATGATAAAAATCCAAACCCGTTTGATCCGTTCTCATGTTTAAAGGTTTCTTACGAACCCGATAGAAAAAAAGAGAAATTAGGGCTACAGCGGACTTGGGAACCCATCACTCTTTTAGTGAACGACAACGCCCTTCCCCACCTCAATCTCGGCCCTCCGTCATCCATCTCCCGTTGTGTCCCGAAATTCGAATCCCAACCGAACCCGAGGACGGTAGGGTATCTCGTCGTCAGGATAAAGGGAAGATGGTGGTTAGCGGCTCATCTAAAGGACCCCGAGCAAACAAAGAAGAAGAGCCCCGATACTGCCTCCCTGCGACGTCCCGTCGCTGGCACTACCTCCCTGCGACGTCGGAATCCACCCATCGCTGGCGTCGCCTCGAGAATTTATAAAGTATGCTTATATTGAATTTAAAAATGTTTAGATTACATTTAGGACATGATATTATACATATGCGCACCACCCGATATGGCAATCCGATATTTAGTCCATGTCCCCCGATATATCCCCGATTTTCGCTATCCGACATGGATTTCAGCCGTCCGACATGAACCCGATATCCGACATTTAAAACATTGCCGGTATGGGTACGTATATGGGACACGTCTATGTAAATATTTATATACATATATATTTTATATTAGAATTAATAATATATGGGAACAAGGATGAGAATTAAAATTCCTATAACATTTTTATGCTACTTTTATTATGTGGATTATAAATTGGAAAATCAATAGTTTTTGGACTAGACACCAATTGACCATTCGAAACCATAATTCAAAACATGACCTATGTCCAATGAGTTTGAAGAAGTGGATATGATGTGTAGGATATATGTTCAAAAAGTTCATGACAAGCGTTTTAAATTAAAACATGTGTAGGATATATGTCCAAGAAATGTATGACAAATATTTTAAATTAAAACATAAATTGCATAATTGAGTATGCGCCCAAATAAAAGTGTGCATATATGCAAGGAGTGTCCAAGGAGTATGGGTACGGGAACATGTCGAGTACAACTACGCTTCAGATTAGACATACCCAAGTAATATAGGTGGGCGGAAACAAATTAAATTGAATACCTTTGTTTTTATATTTGTATTTGTTTAAAATTCTTGAAGAATTTGAATATCATTCTCTGATTTTCATCGAACTAATATTTGAATGCAAATAGTTTTTGAATATTGATAAATATTTACTATATATTTATTTGATTAATAATTTAGAGTTTATGACTATGAAAACTATATTATTAAAAAGATATTTTTTATTTAGTAAAGAAATTTGGTTTAAAAACTTATATTTGCTCTTTAAATTTGTCAAATTCAATGTAAATCTTAAATTATATAATGTAAATGGGTCAAAAACATAATACCATATATATAATAATAAAATTGTGAGGGATAAAACTTTAATGAATATTTATAATCAAACGAATTGAATATGCATTTTGGTTAATTTGTATTTGTTTATAAACTGAGTACTAAAAACTATTTGTTAACTGTTAAATGAACTATCGAATTGAATATGACCGAATAGTTAGGCAAACAAATAACAAAACTATTTCCCCCCCCCCCAACAACCCCCCCCCCCCCCCCCCCCAACCCCCAAAAAAAAAAACCAAAAAAAAAAGCACACATAATCACCACATACACGCACCTACTACTGTAGTAGTAGTAGTGCTACCACCACATGAATAGATACAGTGATACACATGTTCATGCACCCAAGATCTTAAACAATTGTTTGTAGTAATACAAAACATGTTTGTATATTAAAGTTTACATCTACCTTACATTTTATATGACCTTGCAAAAACAAGATATTGGCTCTTGAAGTTTATATAGAATAGCTAAACATGTCTAAGCTTATAATAGTTTTATACAAGTCATCTTCTTGATAGTATTTTCCACTATAGGCTCTAGCATATAAATGAAACACTGAAAGTAACTAAAAATCTCAAAACATGTAATGTGAGCAACAACGTTGATGAAAGTGTGGTAAATGTCCAAGGAGTGTATGAGGGTTCTAAATTAAAACATCTATTGTATGGTTTAAGACACATTTTAGTGCGTGACACATCTCTAATGCTCAAATAAGTGGCCATGTGTGAAACGGATACGGCATCATAATATAAGCAGCTGCTGTGCATGGATGCTATGATATGTGTAATTCTTATTTCAGTATTCTCCTTTCCTATCAAATATTCATAAATATGTTGTATTGGAGCATGAATCAGTTCATGACTTAAATATTATTGTTTCTGCTCTCTTCATCCGGCTTAACCTGATTCACCATTGGTCTTTACTATGCTGGAAGCCTGGGAAGAGGATTGGGTTAGATTCTGTGTGATGTGAATGTGTGATTTTTGGATGGGCATCGACCGGAATGTTGCAATGTTTGTATTGGACTTTATTTGGTTCCTGACCCATCTCCTAATCATTTGCAATCCTTGTCATGGCATATATGAGTATACATGAACCAGATTTTGTTGTAAAAGTTCACCAAAATCTAGTATGTATTCTGAGCATTCAGTAGGGAACACTTGGATGAAATTTGTATTTTCTCATATCTGATCTGTTGACTCCACTTTATGTTCATTACAGCACTCATCCCTGAGCCCTGATGGCAAGAATCTCGTCATTGTGGGTGACAATCCTGAGGGAATCCTGGTTGATGCTCATACTGGAAAGGTAATATCTGCAAAACAAACTTACCTCCAAAATAATAATAATAATAATAATAAGGAAAAAAGAAAAAAAAGCACTTACACTTACTCTTACTACAGAACATCCAAGATTTGCATGGCCATATGGACTACTCCTTTGCATCGGCATGGAGTCCTGATGGCTGTACATTTGCAACGGGTAACCAAGACAAGACATGCAGAGTCTGGGACATCCGTAACCTCTCGAAATCTCTCGCAGTCTTGAGAGGAAACCTTGGAGCTATTCGATCAATCCGATACTCATCAGATGGTCGGTTTATGGCAATGGCAGAGCCTGCTGATTTTGTGCACATATTTGATGTCAGTAGTGGGTATCAGCAGCAGCAAGAATTGGATTTCTTTGGAGAGATTTCAGGGATATCCTTCAGTCCGGATACTGAGTCTTTATTCGTTGGTGTATGGGACCGGACTTACGGGAGTCTCTTGCAGTATAATCGAAAGAGGAACTGTTCTTACTTGGATTCACTAATTTGAGGTCATGATTCTTGAAATAAAGTTTGGAGACTTGATGTTGATGTGTATAAAGGGAAGAGATGTAAAATTATCGTTTTAGGACAGCACATATGAGGCGAATGGAAGAATTCTGTAGCAATCATTGTGCCGAAGAAATATGTTCGGATATACATCGTGGAAGAGTTTTACTTCGTTCATGGCATTGTTCTTGTTTTGCATGTGTTTGTTGGTTATAGGTTAAGCTCAAGTTGCAGGAACTTTTTGGGATTTATGGACTATAGCATGGGTCTTTGGTTTATTATAATTGAGAAGGAAATAAATACCTAAGGCCATGTTGGCAGAGGGTTAAGGAAGAGAATAAGGAGAAGAATTGATGTAGTTAGTTTATTCGATAATATGAAAGACAAAATTATTAACATGTTAAACAAGTTTTATTTTAGCATTTATGATCAGTTTTAATGTTTAGGAAAAATGAGGATTTTGACTATTTTCTTTATAAATAGAGGAACAATTCTAAATTTTTCTAAATAGAAGTATTAGTAAATCCCTCATTTTAAAAGGTTAATTAATCCTTCTAGAGAGGTTAGCTTAACTTTTATATATTTTGTATTTTTGCATTTAGCAAATTATCAAGGGTTATCTTTAACCTTTGTATAATTTATTTTACAGGTTAAAAAAGGGTTAAGTCTTATTAACCCCTAAGTTAACCTGTTGCCAAACAACACCTAATAGGATACGTCCCTTAGGCAAGATAGGCTTAAAATTTCCTAGGATTAGTGTAATATTTTGTAGGGAAATAAGCACCAAAGATTGTCAAAGAAAGTCAAAATATATCTGTACTTTGCAAAAAAAGGCAAAAAGAAAGGACTAGAAGACTTGCATACAATTACATTATTTGATTAATATTTATTACTGGAGACCCGCCGAACAAACAGAGTCCAACCCCGTCAGACAGAGTTTCTCAAATCAATATAGTATATATAAATATATAGTATATATCAAGCACAAGATTTTATTGCGTGGTAGTGATCTGACAATTGAATTCCCAACCTAAGACCACTATCCTTCAAACGGAACGTACATTCATATGAGGTGAGAAGTACTTATTGAGGAATGCCATCTTTTGATATGATCAGTGGAAGAGAGTATTTGCCTCCTCCACTACCCAAACAGAGTTTTTTGTACTTTGTGCGTACCAATTCATACCATTTTTTCTATATAATATATAAAGATCATAGTGATATACTATATATGTATATATTAATATTATGAATATATTATTATCATGTGAGGTCAGATGTTTTGAACTACCGTTCAAATCATCAACTTAGGAGGGGCCGGGGGCTGGGGCTCAAATCAACAAGAATCATCCAACTCTGTTTGTAGAAAATTCTAGGATAACGTCCCTTAGGCCAAGATTAAGGCTTAAAATTTCCTAGGATTAGTGTAATATTTTGTAGGGAAATAAGCACCAAAGATTGTCAAAGAAAGTCAAAATATATCTGTACTTTGCAAAAAAAGGCAAAAAGAAAGGACTAGAAGACTTGCATACAATTACATTATTTGATTAATATTTATTACTGGAGACCCGCCGAACAAACAGAGTCCAACCCCGTCAGACAGAGTTTCTCAAATCAATATAGTATATATAAATATATAGTATATATCAAGCACAAGATTTTATTGCGTGGTAGTGATCTGACAATTGAATTCCCAACCTAAGACCACTATCCTTCAAACGGAACGTACATTCATATGAGGTGAGAAGTACTTATTGAGGAATGCCATCTTTTGATATGATCAGTGGAAGAGAGTATTTGCCTCCTCCACTACCCAAACAGAGTTTTTTGTACTTTGTGCGTACCAATTCATACCATTTTTTCTATATAATATATAAAGATCATAGTGATATACTATATATGTATATATTAATATTATGAATATATTATTATCATGTGAGGTCAGATGTTTTGAACTACCGTTCAAATCATCAACTTAGGAGGGGCCGGGGGCTGGGGCTCAAATCAACAAGAATCATCCAACTCTGTTTGTAGAAAATTTTGACTATTTTGTTGGATAAATACTGATATCGAGCAATTAAAATTGCTTATTAAGTGATTAATTGTTTGAGAGTAGCTAAATTTTTTCCAAATCTGATTGATTGTACTGTGTAGTTTTACAAATACTAATATTAATATCTCTATATAAGAATGGTAACATATGCAATCACCCTATTAGAATTTGCCTAATTCCCTTTTCATACACTATGCGGGAGATTAGTCATGGCTGACTGACTAAAAAGATGTAGACGTGGCTGTATTTGGTGTGCATTGGTGAATTCAAAATCTATTAGAATAAGCTTTATGTCTATGCCCCAAAATGAAAGCTTAATCTTTATTATTTCAATGCCATTGGCCCTAATTATATTATTTTTCCGCAATTTCAATGTTACTCCTTCTCTACACCATTTTTAAAATCTTCATCTGCTCCTCCCTCCTCTTCTTTTTCTCTCATGAGACCCACTTATGGGCTTATAACAAGAAGTGGGAGGGGGTCTGCGGATGGGTTGGGTGATGATTGTAATTTTAACTTTTATTTTTGATACTGTTTTTTCGATGACCCTGAAGCATGAGTTTGTTTGATATTTCTCTTTTTTGCTTGATTTTTAAGAATAAAATGATGATCCTTTTGCACTTGTTTGAAATTTGTGTTTTGCTAAGAGTTGCTGGCCATGGCCAAAGCTCAAGAGTAAAGGAGTAGAGTATAGAGAGAGTGATTGTGGATCAAGAGAGAGTACGTAATAATAATAGGTCATGTACAAAGAAAAATATAATAGATATCTCATTGTGTAGTTTTGTGTATGTAAACATCAAAGCTACCCAAACTTATAATTGTATGAGTTGATTGTGAACTATGAAAGATTAGATGTGAATTTTACCTAGTTGATGATAACTTTACTCATTGTATGTTAAGTTTATAGTATAACTGTTAAGTTTGTATAACAAATGTTAATTTTGAATATGGGCTGTTAACTTTAAGCATTAACTGTTAAGTTTACCCATTGGCCAGCCGTTAACTATATTTAATACATGTTAACTTTATCCATTACCTTTTAGCTTTAGTGAATATCTATTAACTATATTCAATATCTATTTAGCTAATATCTATCAATTATATCCACTAATTGTTAACTTTAGCTAGTACATATCAAGTAATATTGGATATAGCTAACATATATTGGCTATAGTTAATAAATACTAGATATAATTACCAAGTTATGGATAAAGTTAATAGGTACCAAGTATAGTTAATAAATAATGGTTAAAGTTAAGATGTACATAATATAGTTAACATGTACATGTTAGAGTTAAGTTGTAGAGAATTACTCCCATCAGACTTGAACCTAACGAACATAACAAAGAAAGGGGTTCAGACAATTATGTCCTTTTTTCAACGAAGTAAATAGATCTAAAGTAAAGGCCAATATCCACAATTTTCTCATTCACATGTCATAAATCGCTCTTTAGTAGGTTTTTTGTCTTCACGATATTTGTATTTTACGGTATAGACGCTTATGACTTCCCCCTCTATGCCTTAAGGTAATGATTTCTCTGGCGTTATGACCTTTACTACAACGATTTTGTCCATAGATCAAATTATTTATTAGATTGGATTTCGCTTGACTACTACGTCTCCTTTGCGTGTGCTCAGGGTAGAAGTTTTGTATAAATGTATCGCTGTGTTATCAAGTATTTTTCTTTAAGTTCTTTCAGTCAGGATTTCTATTCTATGATCGACTAGTATAAACATCAACAACTTAGAATTGGACTATTGTCTCCTCAACAAATAAAGGCTTGAGCCAACAAAATCCTACCCAATGAAGAGATAGATGGAGTAGTGACAAAGCCCTATACTCTTCATTATAAAACCAATAAACCGGAAAAAGATGGATTGTTTTGTGATCTCTTGTTTTGTCAAAGAATATCTGAACCCATAAAAGTGGAATTTGTGCTTGTGGAAATTATCAAGTGATCGAAACTGAAAAAGAAAAAGAGGATCCGAAATTTTATGAAGAATGCGGGGTGGAATTTGTTGATTCTCGGATACAAAGATATCAAATGGGATACATCAAACTCGCATGTCTAGTAACTCATGTGTGGTATTTGAAATGTCTTCCGAGTTATATCACGAATCTTTTAGGTAAGCCCCTTAAGGAATTAGTAGGCCTAGTGTATTGCGATAGAGTGATTTGATCAAAATTTTACGTACAGATTCAAACTAATAAACTGTTATCCCATTCAATCTGATTGGGGTGCCCCAACTTTGACATGTGTCTTTGAAGGAGTAACATGAAGCTTAAAATTTTGGGTGTATGCAGTACTTCTAAATGAAAGGAGAATTGATCAATTGATCCATGGTCGATTCCATAACCAATAAATGTGAATTGCTAGTTATACCTTGTGAAAAAAGACATTTTCATGGAATTAGCCATTCCACTTATTTTATAGAAGAGATTCTATTCAAGCAAGCAAATAGGGCATGGTTACAGAAGTCTATCTATCGCATATATGCTTTAAGAGTCATAATGACATAACCGTCGAGGTGAGTAGGGACCAAAAAGATCGAATGAAACAAAATGATATATAGATAAGTAAATCCCTTACGAGTCCAAAACTATTTCTTTAAGGGGATTCATCATTTGAAGGGAAGTAGACTACTCAATAATTTCACATTTCAATTTTGTCCTACTTTTTAAATAGAAAAAAAGAGAAAAAAAATGCAAATGTCATCTTATTCAAAACCCCAATTATGACATCTCTTATCTCCCCCTTCACACCTCAGAACACACTGTTCTTATAGAGAGAAATGCACTTTCACATCCCGAAATGAAGTGGCTAAGGAGAGATTCCTTTTTGAGGATACTCTCGAGAACAAATCCAGTGGAGACAGGGTAGGGCCTGTAGCTCAGAGGATTAGAGCACGTGGCTAAAAACCATGATGTGGGGGGTTGAATCCCTCCTCGTCCACAACCAACCCAAAAGGGAATGGCCTTTCCCTCTGGGAGTAATAAAATCATGATCGGGATAGCGGACGCAAAGCTATTGAACTTGGGTATGGACTTTTGTCGAAATGGAATGACCTTATTTTTTCTTTTTATTTATCACAAAGGGGTTTTTCATTATAGATAGTAAACCTA